CGCAGGACGGCTATGAGGCTATCCTTTAAGCCCATCTCTCATCTCTTGTGTAACTGGAAAACGGGCAACACTTCCTTCTCATGGAGAACAACGACTATCCAACCCCCCCCCCCCCCCCCCCCTCCACCTACAATAATGGATATTCGCGACATTTTATATCCAGCAGCGCTATTGTTGCCAATTTCCCGTGTTTGCACATTGACATGGGGCTGTCGATCATTCGTGTTTCAGGGGTGGACTTTTGAAGTCCAAGACCCTTCTGGACATGTAACCTTGATTATGCATACCCACAGATTGACGGCATCAACCGAACCCGAAACCCGGCTCCAGCTAGAGAAAAAATCCCGAGTCCACGTTCGTCTCCTGAACTTGGGGTATCCGCCCATTAAGGCTGCTCTCCCCGCACAGGACTCGACCCCGTTAGGCAAAAATCGTCTCAGCATATCAGCCAGAATTGGAGCAACTCTTGACTGCCGAGTATTGATCCAGAGGCGTGGTAATTACCGGCAATTCATGTGGCTACTTGAGTAATGAATGATCAAGGGGCGTGGAACCTGCGACTCATATGGCAACATTGGTCTAGGGGGTGCGGAAAGCCCGCGACGCACGTAGCCACTTGAATACCGCCCGAATGCGAGTAACATAAAGGGTTAAGTCGAGATATTGGTTGTCTCGAGGGAGGCAACGGATGGGTTGACAACGAAATACACAGTCCGCAGATGGGTCTATTGGAAAAGGGATTTAAGGGGCTGGGAATCGTACTTGACATGGGATGAAAACAAACAACACAGACACACCAGCTTGCAGTGCCGGCTAAAAGTAGGTTAGGCTAGATTGATGCTAAGATGAAGAAATGTGAAGTGAAGTGAAATAAGAGAAAAGACCACTATATAGTTACCTTACCTGCGCTTAAGGCTGCTGAACTCTCTAGCCTTCCTTCCCACGGCCTATGCTCCTTCCAGGCATTCAGCCCCTCTCCACAATCGGAATTACAAATAGCTACTTTCTATTAGGCAGTGATCAAAGGGGTTCGTGTTGTTTAGTTTAAATGCTCAGCGTTTTAAGTTTCCATGTTTTCTTTGCCAAGAACAGCAATCGCCTCAAGATTCTGAGCCCATGGCTTAGGTTGTCTTCATTCCATCTTCATCAGCAAGCAACCTTCAACATAGTAATAACTACTTATGCATGTAGCTAGATGAGTCTCCATTGCACAATCGTTGAGAAACCCCGGAGGAGCAACGGATTTTAGGCTCGCAGTTATTATTCATTGAAACTGGGGACATACGTGTTTGTCTAGTTAAGAGTTCGTCCAAGATCGCCAAAATAGGTCACAGTAAGCCGGAAGGCAGACGAAAGGCCCCCAAGGTTCCCATATGGCTCTACAACTGAGGATGGGGGCGAGCTTGCCAGATTATTAGGGCAGAGCCGTATTCATGATGCTTCTCGGAGTTGATATACCACTCGTACTTTTTCTAATCTCTTCAGCAAACTTCCTTCGTTTTGCTCAAGATATGACAGGAATATGGTGCACACGACCGACACTGCGAGCATACAATTACTTCCTAATTGCGAAGGTTTGAGGCGCTGGACTAAGAGCAGCATCGTCATTCACTGACGCAACCTCGAGCTCTGCGATTATGGGGCAGGGTATGGGGGATACTTTAGGTAAGCGAGGGAGCACGGATCCACCGATTACGTCCATGCCGCCCAGTGCCAAGATCTTAGTGGGGCCTTCAATACTTGCCTGGATGCCTGACCAACCGCCAGGCTGCTATCGGTTATCAAGAATCTGAATTCGAAAAATTCAAAAAACATAGCCCCACCAAAGGCGAATTTCCCCCACCTTCCTCGTATCATCAATAATAACTGCTGCTTGGGCTGGATACTTGATCTGATTTCCCCTCAACCTGGAGAAATCTTTCACCCTTCTCTCTCCCCACAGCAAATACCTGCCGTTTTCCGCAACTTTTCACGACCGACTCCCTGACTGATAGGGATTCTTTCTTCAAAATGGTGTCGGCATCCAAAGAGAAACGTCTCGCCAAGAAGGCAGCCGAGGGCAAGGAGAAGAAGACAGTCGCCTCGCGATCCAAGGCGAACTCCAAGAACGCCAGCGCTGCCGGCTCGGTCAACGGCGATGATACACCTCCCATCGAACTCGATGCCCACGGCAACCCGATCGAGTCTGAGGAGCCCGCCACTTCGGCCGACAAGCTGGGCGAGGTTAAGCGCCTCGCCGCGCAGCTGGATAAGCACGGCATCTCGGACCGAGTCACCACGGGTGTCCTGGCATCGACGCCGACAAGCAAGGACGTAAAGATCACGAGTGTTAGCCTGGTGTTCCACGGTCGTGTTCTGATCACAGATGCCACTCTCGAACTGACGTTGGGCCGAAGATACGGCCTGTTGGGCGAGAACGGTTGCGGCAAGAGTACCCTGATGAAGGCTATCGACCAGCGCGAGTTCCCCATCCCACAGCACGTTGACATCTACCTGCTCAACGAGGGCGCACCACCCTCCGACCTGGGCGCTCTGGAGTGGGTTGTGAAGGAGGCCGAACTCGAGATGGAACGCCTCGACAAGCTGGCCGAGAAGTTGTTGGAAGACGAGGGCCCAGAGTCACCGGTTCTGATGGACCTCTACGAGGTATGTGTGCTCCCTACCCCGGTATCCCCGGCCGCTTTCTCTGCCCTTCTCTCGATGCTAATTGCCTCTTTTCTCTTGTAGCACATGGAGATGATGGACCCCTCAACTTTCGCCACCCGTGCTTCGCTCATCCTGACTGGTCTCGGGTTCGACAAGAAAACAATCCACAAGAAGACCAAGGACATGTCTGGTGGCTGGAGGATGCGAGTTGCCCTGGGGAAGGCCCTCTTTGTCAAGCCAACCCTTCTGCTTCTTGACGACCCCACTGCCCATTTGGATCTCGAGGCCTGCGTGTGGCTCGAGGAGTACCTGAAGAAGTGGGACCGCACTCTTGTGCTGGTGTCTCACTCGCAGGATTTCCTCAACGGCGTCTGCACGAGCATGATCGACATGCGGGACAAGAAGCTCATGTACTATGGCGGCAACTACGACACCTACACCAGGACCCGCAGCGAGCAGGAGACCAACCAGATGAAGGCATACCAGAAGCAGCAAGACGAGATCGTCCACATCAAGAAGTTCATCGCCAGCGCGGGTACCTACGCCAACTTGGTCAGACAGGCCAAGTCGCGGCAAAAGATCCTGGACAAGATGGAGGCCGACGGTTTCATCCAACCCGTCGCTGCCGACAAGGTGTTCACCTTCCGATTCGCCGAAGTCGAGAAGTTGCCGCCGCCGGTCCTGTCTTTCGACAACGTCACCTTCTCCTACTCTGGCGACCCCAAGGATGATCTTTACCGCAACATCGATCTGGGTTTCGACATGGACTCGAGAACGGCCCTCGTGGGACCCAACGGTGTGGGCAAGTCGACCCTGCTCCGACTCATGACCGGCAAGCTGTCGCCTACCCAGGGCTCCGTCACCCGCCACACCCACCTGAAGCTTGGCCTGTACTCGCAGCACTCTGCAGAGCAGCTTGACCTGACCAAGTCGGCGCTCGACTTTGTGCGGGACAAGTACAAGGACAAGACGCAAGACTACCAGTACTGGCGCCAGCAGCTCGGTCGATACGGCTTGTCTGGTGAGTCCCAGACGGCCCTGATCGGCACCCTATCCGAGGGTCAGAAGAGCCGTATCGTCTTCGCTCTCCTTGCCATCGACAGCCCGAACATGATTCTGCTGGACGAGCCTACCAACGGCCTGGATATTCCCACCATCGACAGCTTGGCTGATGCCATCGAGGCCTTCAGTGGAGGTGTCGTCGTCGTCAGCCACGACTTTAGGTGAGTCACAAACCAATGCAAATCCTGCGTCCCCCCCCCCCCAACCAAAGTTGATTGCTGACCATACAACCCTCTTTACAGATTGCTTGACAAGATTGCGAAGCAGATCCTCGTCTGTGAGAACAGGTCCATCAAGCCATGGGGTGGCACTATATCAGACTACAAGAACTACCTACGGAAGAAGATGGTCTCTGCCGGAGCAGTTTGAACAGAATGAACCAACAGACAGGCATGACCTTGCATTTTGATAAATAGATAGACGGATGACCAACGGTCGGCTAACATTGCATGCATTTGCGCGAAGCCTAAAAGAAAAAGGCAGTTTGCGCCCAACGCACCAAAAAGAGGGGGGAAGGGTCCCCTTGGTAGGGGGTCGTGGGTCGTTGGTCCCAGCAAAAGAAGAAGACTGGCAGAAAGACCGCGCGGGAGCCTGGATATCCCCATTACGGAGGGAATCAAGGCAATGCGCAACTGCGTTTTTTTGGGCACTGGGTAGAATGGATTCTGCTGGTAGCCACGAACCAAAATCTTCATCATTACCATTTCCTTTGGAGCCTGTCTCTGGGTGATTTGTGCAGTATAGGTACCTACATACTACCCAAACTAATCCGGGTGGCAATTCTGGGCCTTTGTAGAACCCCGCATACAAAGATTCTTAAGTCCGACAATCTGAAGGCATTCCAAGATTTGCCGGCCCTCTGCATTTCTGGCTCGGCTATCTGGAAAAGGGGCAGGAATTTTTTAGCCATATCATCTGAAAGAAGGACCGTTACCCAACACTGGCTTTTTCAACCGCCCGGGCATGGGTTGATACACTTTTGGCCGGCCTGGGAAGGTGCTGAGAGGCAGCAGAGCGAAGGTTTTGGAGCAGGATGGGAGTCCAACAGATCTGCAGGCAATATTAGGCTGTGGTTGGTTGGTGAGTGTGGGATGGTGGGTCTGAGGCGACTCGGGTACAGATGCACGGATGTGGATTGGTATCGCACCAGATGCTGACGCACGTGCCAGGGAGCAGCCCCAGCTGATAATTCTGAACCAGGGCTGACTCTGCTGGTGGCAAGTGGGGCTGGAGTGGGTTTAGTAAAATTGTTAGTGGGATGGAGACTGGGTGGAAGCATGATGAAACCAGAGACTCAGGAGAGGGAGTAGGAAAACGCCTAGAAACTGAGGAAATGCATCGTTGTGGGTATAGCTTTCAGGAAACTTATGAGAGAGAATGAATGAAGGAATATTCATATGATATTCATCTCCTACTTTCCTCCCTGCTGTTTTCTTTTCCTTTTTCTACCTTGCCTGGAATAGGGGAGCCAGCTAACGGGCCCTTGCAGACCAGACATGCAGATCCCCCTCACTAACAATGGGCCAGGGGTGGTTGTAGTGAAGGCTGACGTCCCTCGGGACGGACGGTGGTACCAAGGGAACTTTGATGGGTGGGCTGGATCGATGGATGGATCACCTTCGCGAGAGGTGAGTAGAAGCGGGTGTCAAAGGCGCATTTTTGGGGGGAATTTCTAGGGGAAAGAGTCTGCGCGCACACACATCGCTTCAAAAACAGGCCGTGGCCAAACCCAGTAGACGCATCCAGGCCGACAACAAGGAAATAATGCCAGTCTTCTGACCAAACCATTGCATCCTCCCCATCCTCCCCACAACATCACCACTTTTCCCCTGCAACACCAGAACATTGTCACCAACCAGCCCATTGCCAGCGGCCAATTCACACTCGACTGTGACATTTTCTAGCCTGTGCTGGCTGCCCAGTGCCACTCCAACTCCACAACACCACAAACCCATCGATTTTCTCCCGCGTTTTATCGCCGTAATCCCGACCCTTTTCTCTCTTCGCAGCTGTCAATCATCAACACCATCGATTACCGCTGAATCAGCAGTCGCATCTGCATTGCTGTCCTCATTTGTGTCAGCTTTTTACCCACGGCTTCCCGACTCGATCTCCCCTCGAGCCTGTGCCCCGACAACTACGATTGAAGACAGCTGTAATTAATTGAAAGGCTTTAATTGCCAGCCATCGTTATTGCGACAGCCTTCACTCTGGGCATCCCAACTCCTGTTGCCTCCGAACTGCGACGCGATCAATCCGAATCCTCGATGGGTCGACGATAATTACAAGGGAAATAGGACTGCTTGTAGCGTGTGGAAGGAGCAGCCAGAATGGATAATTTCCACTCGACCGTGTTGCAGCAGCCACCTCATTTCGGTGAAGGTGGCAGCAGCAGTAGTAATGGAAATAAAGTTGTGCCCTCTTCTTCTGGGGGCGATGATCGAGTGGGAGGAGGAGGACGCTTGCGCGACATTCTAAACCCAGGGAGCTCGGCCACCCAAGCACCGCCGCCAGCTCATGGGCCACCAGTGCCAACACCAGCATCAGCACCGGCACCACGCCCGCATTCATTCAATCTAAGATCCCCGACACAAAGTGATTTTCAGCACCATCCACCTACCTTTTCTGCCTCCCCGCCGTCTTCCACCAACACCCACACTGCCGGTCCTCGATCTATCCTCAACAACCCCTTTCCAGCATCGCCTGCCACCGGCCATTCTTTGCCACCACCACTGCAACCACCGGCAGCATTATCGCCATCGTCATCGTCAAGGCCTTCAAATTTGCAACCTCCCCCTCGATCACCACTGCACGCACCACCTGCATACTACCCACGCGATATTCGTGATCGTGACCGTGACCGTGACCGCGACCGTGACCGCGATTGGGATCGGGAGTCAACCCGCGGGAAACCGGCTGCCGGCAGCTTCTATGACCCGACCACTGACATCACGACCAACACCAAAGAACGCCCAATCTCTGATACAGGCTCCTGGCATAACACTGCTGTGCCTCGAGTCTCAACGCCGAAGGTAAGTCATCTCAGTCCGTTTGCAAACAAATATCTGGTGTGGTCAGAAGCCATCTGTCAATTTTGCCTCCCTTTGTTCGTCGACAGCCTCACCGAGTTTTTTTTTTTCTGGCACATTTGGCATTTTTGGCGTTCTCTCCACGGGCCACAACTTCCATTGCTCCCGACCCGACCTTCCATTATTATCCGCCAATTCACTCCCAAGAAGGCTATTCACTAACCAGAGTTTTCCACCTACCATTCAGGCCCACGACCCATACTATCCTCCCGATTCTGCCTACTACAACGGAACCTACACATCACCAGCTGCCTCTGGTTTCCAATCACGCAGCCCCGCCTCACACTCCCATCTCGGCCCTGCCCCTGGGTCCATCAGCCCACCGAGCAAAGTGCAAAAGATGGCATCACCAAGTATAAGACATGCTCGTCTCCACAGTCCAGGCTCATCCACCGCCACCCCATCAGCGTTGCCACCCTTGGCAAGAACCGAATCTCCTGCACCCTCATCCAGGGCTGCAGCTGCTGCAAGTGTAAGTGACATGGCGATTTGACCTGGTGGTTGTCTCTTTTCCTCCAACTAACAAATCATTTTCAGACACCGAGCCGGGCTGCCGGAGTCATGTCCTTCTCCAACATCCTCTCCAGCTCCGAGCCAGTATCCAAGGCGAGAAAGTCGCCCTTGGTTTTTGAAGACCAGCCCGTCAAGACCGAGAAGCTCGATAAGGCAGACAAGGTGGACAAGGAAAAGAAGCCGGCGCGTCGAAGTGCCAAGGGACGCGCCTCCGACGTGAAGAACTCGGAGGCAACTCCCAAGGCTGGTGGCTCCCGAAGAACGTCCTCCAAGCCTGCAACCCCGTCGTCGGCACGGATTCCCGCGAAGCGGCAGGCCAATGGCCAACCCAAGTCGAAGAGCCTCTCCGCCAGTCATGAGAAGGAGATCCGCCAAAAGATGGAACTCCTCGATACCGATGCCGATGACCTCGACGAGAACGAGTACAGCGAGGAGCTCCGGGCTTGGAAGGAGCGATCCCTCCGCCGACGCCAAGAGATGGTTTCCCGAGACATTGAACAGCGGCAACTCCGACGGGCAGACTTCTCCGACGTCGAGGCTGTCAAGCTCGGCCTCCACTCCGACCTTGGCAAGAGGCGTTACGACGACATGTTCTACGACGAGGCCTTGCAGGAGGTGCGAGAGCGAGAGCTGTTTGCCGAGAAGGAGCGCAAGAAAGACATGCAGCGCAAGAGGCGGCGGGAGAAGTCCATGGCCACCACCATGGAGCAGAAGAACGCGGCCCTTGCCCGAGCACAAGCCGCGCAGGACGAGGCCGAGAGGCAGAGACACCTGCGCGAGGCCGAGCGGGCCAACAAGAAGGTCCAACAGACCAAGCTGATCCTCCAAAAGGGCATCAAAGGGCCTGCCAGGAACCTGGGCCCCATCGAACCCAACCTCGAGGGCGGCACCATGGCCACCTTCCAGGCCGAGAATATGGAGCCCGGAAAGGGCAAGGGTAAGGGCCGGGGTGGCCCTCGTCCCAAGAAGTCCAAGGAGCAGAAGCAGGCCGAGAAGGAGTCGGCCGAGGCCGCCCAGGCCGCCCTCGATGCCGGCCAGGAGCTTCCGTCCAAGGAGGAGACCAAGATCCGCATCAAACTCTCCAAGTCCAAGGCCAACAAGGACGATGCGGAGAAAGACAAGGAGAATAAGGAGCCCAAGGACAAAGACAAGGCTAGCGAGCCCAAGGATCCCCTGGAGACCAAGTTCCAGTCCAAGGGCTTCAACCAGATATACGACCAGATCTTGCGCGACCTCGCGCGCAAGGACGTCAACAAGACGTACAAGCTGGCGTCGGACTCGTACGCCACCAAGACGTCCAACCTCAAGAAGACGGCGATCCTCGCGTCCAAGGAAGCCAAGCGGTGGCAACTGCGGACAAACAAGGGCACCAAAGATCTCCAGGCCCGCGCGAAGCGGGTCATGCGCGACATGATGGGCTTCTGGAAACGCAACGAACGCGAAGAGCGCGAGTTGCGCAAAGCGGCCGAGAAGATGGAGCTGGAGAATGCGCGGAAGGAAGAGGCGGAGCGCGAGGCGGCTCGACAGAAGCGGAAGCTCAACTTCCTCATCTCCCAGACCGAGCTGTACTCGCATTTCATCGGGAAGAAGATCAAGACCCAAGAGGTGGAGCGGAGCACCGACCATCCCGACGAGGCCCCCGACGAGAGCGCGAAGGCGGCCGAGCACGCCGACGCGGACATGGACATGGACGTACCAGTTGTCGGGGCCAAGGTGACAAACTTCGACAGCCTCGATTTCGACGCCGACGACGAGTCCACGCTCCGGGCCGCCGCCATGGCCAACGCGCAGAACGCTATCGCCGAGGCCCAGCAAAAGGCCCGGGCATTCAACAAGGGCGACGATCTCGACGAGGACGGCGAGATGAACTTCCAGAACCCCACCGGCATGGGCGATGTGGCAATCGAGCAGCCTAAGATGCTCTCGTGCCAGCTGAAGGAGTACCAGCTCAAGGGCCTCAACTGGCTGGTCAACCTCTACGAGCAGGGCATCAACGGCATTCTCGCCGACGAGATGGGTCTCGGGAAGACGGTCCAGTCCATCTCGGTCATGGCTTACCTGGCCGAGAAGTACGACATCTGGGGCCCCTTCCTCGTCGTTGCCCCGGCCTCGACGCTTCACAACTGGCAGCAAGAGGTGCAGAAGTTCCTCCCGCAATTCTCCGTCGTCCCGTACTGGGGCAATGGCGCAGACCGGAAAGTGCTCCGGAAATTCTGGGATCGGAAGCACACGACTTACAAGCGTGATACCGCGCCCTTCAACCTCGTCATCACGTCGTACCAGATGGTTGTCCAGGACGTCGCCTTCTTCCAGAAGATGCGGTGGCAGTACATGATCCTGGACGAGGCCCAGGCCATCAAGAGCTCGCAGAGCTCGCGTTGGAAGTGCCTGCTCAACTTCCATTGCCGAAACAGGCTCCTCCTCACCGGCACACCCATCCAGAACAACATGCAGGAGCTCTGGGCCCTGCTCCACTTCATCATGCCGTCCCTCTTCGACTCGCACGACGAGTTCAGCGAGTGGTTCTCCAAGGACATCGAGTCCCACGCCCAGAGCAACACGAAGCTCAACGAAGATCAGCTGCGGCGTCTGCACATGATCCTGAAGCCATTCATGCTCCGTCGTGTCAAGAAGCACGTCCAGAAGGAGCTCGGCGACAAGATCGAGCTGGATGTCTTCTGCGATCTCACCTACCGCCAGCGCGCCATCTACCGCAACCTGCGCAACCAGATCAGCATCATGGATCTCATCGAGAAGGCCACCATCGGCGAGGACGACTCGGCCAGCCTGATGAACCTCGTCATGCAGTTCCGAAAGGTCTGCAACCACCCGGACCTCTTCGAGCGTGCCGACACCACCTCGCCCTTCTCGTGTGGCCACTTTGCCGAGACGGCGTCCTTCATCCGCGAGGGGAACAGTGTCATGCTCGGATACTCGACGCGCAGCCTGATCGAGTACGACCTGCCAAAACTCGTCTGGCGAGACGGCGGTCGGCTGTACAAGGCCGGTCAGGATAACGAGAAGGCGGGCTTCCGGAACAGGTATCTGGGTCACATGATGAACATCTGGGCACCGGACAACGTCCAGGACAGCCTCGGAGGCACCGACAACTTCTCTTGGTTGAGGTTCGCAGACGTGAGCGTCCAGGAAGTCAACAAGGCAGGCCAGCAGAACGTCTTCTCGCGGGCTGCCGAGTTGTCGCAGAAGAAGAACCGCCTGGGCTACATGAAAGTCGCCTACGACGAGCCCGAGGACAAGAATTTCACTCCAACCCATGCCTTGTTCAACATTGTATCTCGGGAAGACCGCAAACCCCTCGCCGACGTTGCGGACCGGGGAGTGCTGAGCCGCCTCATGAACGTCTCCCGCGAATCCTATGCCGACTCGGGCTTCGGCCGACTTGAGCAAGCCGGTCGACCTAGAGCATCTGCGCCGCCTGTCGAGGTGTTCTGCAACAGCCGGGGGTCGGTCATCGAGAAGGAAAACATCATGTTCAATGTACCAATGCGGAAGACCCTGTACGGCCCCAACTCGGTCGAGGAGAAGGCCCTGGTCATGCAGAGAGTCCCCCTCGAGCGACACCCGCTCCCGCCGCTCCTCCCCGCACCAGACAACGAGAAGAAGCGGTTCACCAACATTGCCGTCCCGTCGATGCGTCGCTTTGTCACCGATTCCGGAAAGCTGGCGAAACTGGACGAGCTGCTCTTCAAGTTGAAAGAGGGTGGACACCGCGTGCTGCTGTATTTCCAGATGACTCGCATGATAGATCTCATGGAGGAGTACCTCACGTATCGGAACTACAAATACTGCCGCCTGGACGGTTCGACCAAGCTCGAGGACCGCCGGGATACCGTCCACGACTTCCAGACGCGACCCGAGATCTTCATCTTCCTTCTATCTACTCGTGCCGGCGGCCTCGGCATCAATCTCACGGCGGCAGACACGGTCATCTTCTACGATTCCGACTGGAACCCGACGATCGACTCGCAGGCCATGGACCGAGCCCATCGCCTCGGGCAGACCAGACAGGTCACCGTGTACCGCCTCATCACGGCCGGCACGATCGAGGAGCGAATCCGCAAGAGGGCGCTGCAGAAGGAGGAGGTCCAGCGTATGGTCATCTCGGGCGGTGGCAGCTCGGCGACTGGCGGCGGCGTCGACTTCTCCGGGCGTAGGGCGCCCGAGAACCGCAACCGCGACATCGCCATGTGGCTGGCCGACGACGAGCAGGCCGAGATGATCGAGCGGCGCGAGAAGGAGCTCTTGGAGAGCGGCGAGTTCGACCGCGCCACCAAGAAGCGCGGCGGCAAGCGGAAGAGGGGCGGCGACAAGGCCGGCAACCTCAGCCTGGACGAGATGTACCATGAAGGTTAGTAACCAACCATGCGTCGTCGGGAGTACCAAGAGAAGAAAAGAAAAGCAGAAGAAAAAAAGAAAAGGGAAGTCACTCTTCAGTGTCGTTAACATGTCCTCTCTTCCAACAGGCGAAGGTCACTTCGACGATAAACGAGCGTCCGGCGCCGCCACGCCCATCGAGGCCGGCGGCAGCAGCCAGCGCAAGCGGCCCGCCGGCGGCAAGAAGGCCAAGACCACGAAGCAGCGCCTCGCTATTGCTGACGGCCAGATGGATGTCTGATTTTGCAGATGTCTCCCAAAGTTCCCCCGAGACCATCACCCTCGGTGTTCAATCGCACACCAAGAGTTCGCTACCCCAAGGGATTTCAAACGTCCCCCATCACCGACGCTGGAAACCATTCTCTCTCTCTCTCTGTACTTGCTCACCGACGCAACACCCGTCGAACCCGTACTTTTTATTTCATTTACTCGCTCTATTCTTCTTTTACTTGCTCGGTCTTAATTTGCTCTAACCCTCTTCATCCCCCCCACCTTTGTTTCTCCGGGATAAGAAAAAAAGAGAGAGACTCGGGGACGTCTTGTATTTGTAGGAATATAACTGCGCACGTTGTGCATAAACGGATCAAGGGGCGGGGAGAATAGGGACAGGAAGATAAACACCACGTAAGACTCAAGAGGGGACGATGGGGGGGAAACAAACATATACAGGCACGGAGCGGGCGGGTGCCGTGCCGTAGCATTATGGTGTTTGAGGGAGAAGGAAGGGGAGAAGGAGTTTTTGAGGTGTTCGGATATTGGAGTTCTCGCGCAATTCAACGACTGTTAGACCTGCTTAGCTAGCTACCTGCCGAGAGGGACAGATGCGGGGACGGCCTCTTCTCGACGGCATCTTTGCTCGGGTCTGGTAGAAAGGTAGGGGTGGTGGATATGAAGATGCTACTGGCTATCTTGGCGGCTCAACTGTGTGTGTGGTCTTTGCTTTTTGTTCGGTGGGAGTTTAGATCAGACCGGCATGCAACAATAGACACACGCATCATACATCCACATCCATCCAGCTCTGACTTGCCACGCTTGCATGCCATGGAGGATGATCTTGTTTGAAGCCATCTAACCTACTCTATCTAATAATGAACAAGTTCCCAGCGCCTTTTAACCTAACCGTACCAGCCATCCCATTATATGCGTAGTAATCCCCAACGCCAGAGGAGATTCGCACGGGAATCCCAAAAAATAACTATAGTTCCCGCAGGGTATCAGGCCGTGCCAGAGAGGTCCCTTAATCGATCCCATATACCTCTTGTGCGCCCCCAAGCAAAGCAAAAAAAGAAAAAAGGTAGACAGGCCTGGTGGGCGACGCATGACTCGCAAAGGCCCCGTCGGTCAAGGCGCAGCGTTGGGCCAGAACTAGGGCGAGGGGACACCGTTGACGTAGCGAGTACTGTCCTATAGGGTCCGCTTCTCGACCGGGGCGCCACTATCGCTGTGCTGCTGGTGGGCCTCCTGCTGCGTCTCCTGCGAGTCTTGCGTGGTGTCTGTGTCCTGGTCTGTGTCCTGGTCTGTATCCTGTGTATCTTGCGTGTCCTCCGTGTCCTGCTCCGTGTCCTGGACCGTTCCCTCCTCATCCTTCTGCGTCTCCTCCTGCTGGCCATCCTGTTGCTTCACCTCGTCTCCACCTGCCCCATCGCCCATGTTGATGATCCGCACAGTCCGGTAGGGGTGATCAACGCCCTTGCCCTCGCCCTCGTGACCGTCACTGGCGGCACCACCACCACCACTACTACCATCTCCCCTCGTACCAGCAGTCCCGGCACCAGCCACGGTCTCCTCGGCCGTCTCGGCCGCGGCCCCCCGCCCGAACAACAACACCCGCTGGCCGACGACGTAGGCGGCGAAGCACCAGAGCCACAGGCACGTCGCGGCGGCGACCGAGGCGGAGAGCGCGGCGGCGAGCACGAGAAGGGCGGCGCCGGTCCAGAAGAGGACGAAGGCGAGGGCGGCGCCGAGGGCGAGGACGGTCGTCAGGAGGACGAAGGAGACGAAGAGGAGGAGGGGGCCTGAGGAGAGGGCTAGGTTTAGGGAGAGGAAGGTCTTTCCGGGGGGGGGGGTTGGGGGTTTTGTGTTAGTCTGGTTCTTTTGGGGGGGTGGGGGGGTGGTTGTTGGTTTGTTCGAGGCGGGCCGGAAATGGCATATGGGAAGGAAGGGGAGGGGGGGGGAGTAGCATGGTGTGGGTACTCACGAATAGCAGCGGGCGCGCAACAGCAAAGGCCGTGATGCCATCCCACGCACGCCGTCGGGAATCTGGAGAGACGGCACGGTCGACCTGGCGCTGCGCAAAGGACAGCGCCCACGGCGCGGCAGCGGTCAAAGTCATTCTGAAATGCGGCAGGGCTGCAAATAAGGGGTTCGCGTAATGAGACGACGTCGTATGGGCTTTCGATAAGGGAGTGAGTGAGTGGTGAACAGCTGTGGATGGGCTAGCTGGAGGTGGGATGTGGTGGGGGTTTTGGTCTTTTCCCTCGTTCTGTGGAATCCAAGCGTGGCGTGAGGAAGGAATGAGAACTGGCGATTAAAGAGGAGGTTGGAGGACAGTGATCGGCGCTCCAAAGTCAAAAACGATAGTGGGGGATACCGAAGGGAACAGGAATGCCAAAGGGAGAAGCTGCGATGCCGAATCCAAAGCTTGGGAAAGTTGATATGGCCCGATAAGAAGAGCTATGGCCGTCTTGGAGCAAGGTTGGGGCGGTTTGTGGTACCTAGGTACGGATTAAATTAGTAGGCAGGTACCTACCGAAGCTGGGTTGTTTGAGGCGACACGCAAGTCGGCCATGCTAGACAGAAGCTTCCATATTCCATTTCTAGTCTTCTGGAGCATCCCCTCAGGGTACTCCAATGTAATATGCAAGCAGAAACAGAGTTCAACGGTCCGGGGCAGGGCCCTCGTCTAAGGGTACCCATCGACAGAAGCATCATAGCACAGCATCGGCACCTATTGCACCGTGATTCAAGTCAAGAAACAAAATCAATACCGGATATTACATAGTAGAGTACTTGGTATCCCGAAATTATGAACTTCGCATCTGTCTACCAAGACTATATCCTACATGTACAGCCAGACAGGATATATCTGGCATCTAGATGCGCAACTAGACGAGAAACAATAAATAAGAAAAAGAGCGCTCTGATATTTGTGGTCCAGTTCCCCAGGTTTCCACAGACATGTATACATCCCCCACCTTTCCTTACAGCAGCACCATACCCGCGCCGACACCCATAGCGACGATCACGTACAGGCCCACGGCAAGCTCGCCGATGGTGAACGCGTTCTTCATCGGGATCGGGGCGGCGATGTTGCTGCTCTTGGCGGAGCCGCCGCTCGGGGCGGTGGCCGTGGCAGCCTGACTGTTGACCGCGCTGGCCGAGGACAGCGCCTTCGAGCACGTGCCCTGGGGCGAGGCGGCCTTGGTGATAACGGCCTGGCCCTTGAAGTCGCACGCGGTGGAAGCCCTGTTCTGGTTCTTGTAGTACGCGTCAAGCACGTACCCCAGCTTCTCCTTGGCGCCGCACATGGAGTAGGCGCCGAAGACGCCCGACGTCACGTTGCCGCTGATGCCTACGCACGCCGACTTATCGGCGTCGCAGATGTAGTCGAAGATGGCGCCGTAGTCCTCCTCGTCCAGGCCAGATTCGGGAACGCACGACAGGGAGCTGAACATGCAGTCGCACAAAGTCGAGTCGGGCGTCGGCGGGAGGTTGTTGGACGCAACCCAGTTCTCGGTCAAGGCCGGGCAAGCGGCGGGGGAGTTGGTCGGCGTGTAGGCCGAACTGGCGGTGGAGGAGGGGCTGACCGAGGCAAGCTTAGTCTTGAGGGCGTTGTAGTTCTTCATGGGGGTGGCCGCGTTGCCGTTAATCTTGACGAGGCCTGATGTTCGGTTAGTCAAACCAAGGTGCTAAAGGTGACGTCGCTTAAGAGAGCGAAAGTCCTTACCATAGTCGTTCTCCTCCTGGAAGTACATGTAAACAATACCACCAGAGATGACGCCAGTCATGTCGGACGAGTAGAGAGCAGTAGTCTCTTCCCAGATGCGGCCCTCGGCACCACCTTGGGTGTTGCAGCCATACTCGGCAAAGAAGACGGGAACGGAGTAGTTCTTGAAGAAGTCAACCTGTTCCTCATAACCAGACTTCTGGAAGGTGCTGTGGCCGCACCACTCGTAGATGTTGTAACCCCAGAAGTCAATTGCCTCGTCCTGGCTTCCACAGTTGAAGTAATGAGCGATCTCGCTGCGGATAAAGGGATCGTCGTTGGCGGCATATCCGACGCCCAACCACCGGCCGCCCTTGGATTTGATGTACTGCTTAGTGTCACGAACAGCGGCCTTTACATAGGCCGAGGCATCGGTGTTGCTGTTGTTGTTTGAGACTTCGTTGCCAGCAAAGAAGCCAATGACGTTCTCGTATTGGCTCAACTCGTCCACGACAGCCTTGTAACGATCGAACAGGGCCGTGTCCCATGCAGGAGAGTCGCGGTTGATGGAGAGAGACGGCTCGCTCAGGTCGCTGATGACATAGATACCGGCAGCATCCAACATTTGCATGCACGCCTTGTGGTCGGCAGTAGGGTCGATGGCATATGTGCGGATCGCATTGGTGCCGAGATCTGCCAGGAGCTTGACGTCACGCTTGCACTTCGCCGCATCGGCAAGAGGGTCGACGAATTTGGTGCTATTAGTCGAGGCACCTCCAGCGGCGCTATCTTGTTGGTACGCTACGCCCTTGATGAAGAACTGGGTGCCGTTCTCGTAGAAGAACTTGGTTCCCTATGAGTTGAAAAGATGCCAATTAGCCCCTGCTCCGGAGAAGGCCGCTGCGGACGCCCGACGAAGTCGTCGGGCCGGCGGATACATCGGTCTTCTTACCTTCATAACAATCGGGTCCAGAGCCGCAGCCTGTTGGCCGAGCAGCAGGAGAGAGGCAGCGACGGCTGCCTTGGTGAAGCCCATCTTTAAGGTTTTTGGCGTCGACTCGCCGCGGAAGTTTAAACGAAAGGTCGATCCGATCGATTAAGGGGCGACGTAAAGGTAGAGAAACCGGTCGTATATCAAAGTCAATTAGTTGCAGTTTGCGTCGTGGTTGGGATCGGTTCCGCCGGAGGATGCAGGAGATGCAGCGAAAGAAGCGAAACAAAGGGTTCTTTTTCAACGAGAGTCAGGAGTACAATGCGTACGAAAAAAAGAAGAATGCAGTAACCTCTAAGTGAGGATTACACTGTGACTGGATGTCGATGTTGAGGAATGGGCGAGTTTCAGGCAATAGATAAAACGAAGGAGCACCCTGGAAGGACGAGTGGAAGGGGGGTTGACAAGTCTTGGCATCTTGGCGCGCAGCAGGAAATTTAAAGGCGGGAAGTGCCAATCAGTGCACAGACTGCAAGGGGGGAACAAGGGGCTCCGTGGCGCAGTCGTTACGTCGACGATTGTGGATATCTGCTAGGTCCAACACGGTCGCTCTATAGGTCGGCTTCCCTGTGGGGCATTACGAGGTACCTGGAAATCGTCACTGATTTGCGCCAGGCCCAGGTACTCCTAACGGCCAATAACGACATCATCATCTCGCCTCAGTGATGAGCGGAGCAAGGTCTCTTAACTATCCAATGTCTATGCTAACATATCTCTGGGAATTCCAGGCATAATACTGTTAGTGAAATCGTTGCCATACCAGTTAGGACCACGTGGGTCAGTGATATGAGAAACCACCGTACTATTATTGCTGCGCCCCGTTAGAGCAGCAGCGGATCACTCAGCGACGATGCCGGGAAAAGGGGCAGCATTCTTGAGCGTCTGCCCTGATTTCTCCCAAGCATCCAAGAAATCCAGCAGCGACATCGACATGCTCTCACCAATACCAAGCCATTGCCAAGTTCCATCTCATATCAATATACTGAACGCGTCACTGGATAATTCCAAATATCACTGCAATCTGTTCTTGGAGCTGGGTGACCATCAATTGAAGCTTTCAATCCAGCACCAGACGACGCTTTTGACCTTGGACCGCCCAAGATGTAACCGCATCCGCATTGGGGTTGTGGCAAAATAGGAGCCCCATTCGCTCGCCTGATTCCACGTGCAGTTTGGTCACGTTAACCCGTAAATGACAATATGCTCGGCCTGCGTCAGGCATATAATTAGCGCACTCGCATTACTTCGTTTGAGCCGCAACGCAATGTTGCCGGTTTGTCCGGATTATCGATGTCCGAGCCCTCCGGTGGCCGACACTGGGAGATATCGGAGTTTCGTATCCGCTGAAGGGTATTAATTGGGATCATCGTGGCAAGATTAAACACCGCTTCATAAAGTACGAAAGGCTGAAGGGAGAGGTCAGAATCTGCATGGGTCGCCAAGCAAGCCTGGAATTGCCCCCGAACGACCAAGGTTTTTGAAGGCCAAGACCAGAGACGAGTCAAGCTTGTTCGTGCCACAAGAAATCACTGCAATACCAGACCACTGCTCGACGACAAGCCTCGGTAGCAGAATTACCGTTGGGCTCCCTATTTCTCACTTTTGTCTCCCATGTTTTCCGTCTCCCACTCATCCCCAGAATCCCCTCGTTCTGTGTGCTTGCGACACCATCACATCAGCCGTCTGGGATTCCAAGTGATATAATACGCACTGGCTAGTTGGCTGAGATCGGTCAGATATATCTTGCTGCTCGCTTTACACGTGTAGATTCCTGCTCGACTGGACGGTTCATCTTCAACAAATATCTGGCAATCTACACAGTTCAAATATAGAGATTCAACTGACTCCACTCTCAAGACCCCTTGAGCACTGATCAACCTTGACTGTGATGGCGATGCCCTTGCTCAACAAGGGGAACGTCTTTGACATCAGATCCCTCGATTCCAGAGGCAGACGGTGACGGGGCTGAGAGAACATCGGCGGCATCGCGGACGTGTGCTCCATCCTGTCCGATCGACGGGGCCGCGTGTACGACTTTGACACGAGTCCAGGAAACGCGCTCATCGGCCTGCCACTACACCGACAGCGAGAGGGAGTACGACAGGGATGGCGGGATGGGCAGGGGAGGAACAAGAGGAAAGTCATGTTGTTTGGGGCGATGCTATACCCGGTCAAGGAGGTTGTGGATGGCAGGGTCTCTGATATCAAGTGGTAAGGAGAGTGCCAATGTCGTGAAGCATCCTGCCTATACTCTCTATGGGCACTGGAATGCTGGCGGCGAGTGAGGGAATCACGTGAGCCAGGTCTCTACTCTTCCTCCGCACTCTTTGGTCCCCTGTCCGGCCCGATATCACCTGCACTCATGATAGGTAGGAACTCCCTGAGCCTCCTCAGCCAAGCCGCCAACAAGGCAGTCTAGGATAAGAACTGCCTCCTTGCGTAAATTCACCGCCCCAGGTTGCCCCCGCTTCTCGAGCCTGGCGTTGGATTTGGGTACGCAGAAGCTGACAATGCCCAAGGCACTATCGCCAGCGATAAATACAGCGAGGCCCTACATCTGGCATGGGAACGCTTTGCCCGGACGTCTACTGCCGTTGCGAAGAGCCTCTTGTCTATCTATTTACTGGAGAAGAGTCTCCAGGCGTCCTCGCCGACATGTTTCTCCAGGATTGGACTTGGCCTCGCAACAGGTCTCATAATCGCCTCTCGTTCTGACGAGGAGGCCACTGATATATCACCTCCCATTGCCGACTAACTTCCCAAGGCTTGATCCATATGCTCCAGCCTTACATACGGCATCATTTTCTCTCTCAAACCCGGCAATCCCATCAGTCATTCGTTCCTGGATATCAAGTTTCCCATAGTTTCCCATGATTTCCGACGCCGATCTGTTTCCTCACGGATGCTGACAACCAGTCTCCAGATCAAAAACCAATACGCCTTTCCATGTCATGACACATCCTAATATCAATTTAGAACCACATCCCGTAATTCCATACACACACTTGAACCGCCGCCAGCTGCGCGGGAGTCCGCAGCAAAGGCAGAAATAAAAACCGAAACTGGGAAACCCCCACATCAGAACCGCCGCCGGGTCCTAGGCGGCTTCGAATCGAGGCTACTATTACTCGACCCGCGGCTGGCGCCCGACGCAGCGGAACAGGTGCTGGAGCGGCGGCGGTCGGCGCTGGCCTGCTGCAGCAGGCGCCTAATCTCTGTCGAGAACCCGGCCTTGCCCACGGCGCCGAAGGCGTTGACCCCGTCGGCGTCGGCGGCGGCCGGGTCCGCGCCGCGCTCCAGCAGCGCGCGCACCACGGCCACCTTGTCGGAGATCAGCGCCACCGCGTCGATGGCCGCCAGGAGAGGGGTGCGCAAACCCGGACCCCTCGCATTGGGGTTGGCGCCGTGCTCGAGCAGCGCGCGTGCCATGGCGTCGTCGGCGCGCTCGCAGACGCGGTACAGCGCCGTTCGGCCGTGATGCTCGGGCAGGTCCGGCCCCGCGCCGCGGGACAGGAGGGCGAGCGTCAGCTTGGCGTTGCCGTTCTCGGCCGCCATGAACAGCGCGGTGCGGCCGGACCCGTCGGGGCTGTTGAGCAGGTCCGGCCGGCTCGCGAGCAGCTGGCCCGCCACCTTGACGCCGCCGCCCTTGGCCTGGCTGCACCGGTGCAGCGGCGTCTTGCCGCCGCGGTCGCGCGCGTCGGCGCGCGCGCCGTGGTCCAGCAGCAGGGCCGTCGTCTCGGTGTTGCGCGTGCCCGCGGCGAGGAGGAGCGGCGTCGCGCCGTCGGCATCGTCGGGTCGCTCGAAGTTGGCGACCTGGTCGACCATCTGGCGCAGCACGGCCGTGTTCTCCTCCTTGACGGCCAGGTGGAGGGGTGAGGTGCCGCGGGTCGGGTCGCACTCGTCGAAGGAGAAGCCCGGGACGTTGACGTCGAAGCCCCTCTCCTTGCACCACCCGAACGCGAGGTCGGACGGCGACGAGACCGGCTCGGGCACCGTCTTGGGCCGCAGCGTCTGGCGGATCCACTCCATGTATCCGCGGGCCTCGTCGAAGGCCTGGTCCAGCTGCAGGGCCCTGACCAGCAACTCGCCGGACTCGATGACGAGGTTGACGGGCATCGGGACGATCTGGCGTCGGCCCTCGAACGCGCGGTTGAGCATCTTGATCGCCTGCTTCACGTCGCCCTCGACGGCCATGTAGACGTTGCCCAGCTTGTGGTATAGACGGCATCTCCGGTCCTGGTCCCTGGCCTCCCTCTCTCGGCTGCACTCCTCGGCAAGCAGGGCCTCAAGGATCTCCCGCCCTTCCCTCCTGCTCTCCTTGGTTTCGCTCCCCAGCAGGATATCCGCCAGGAACTCGTTCATGTCTACTCGCTCACGATAGTCGAAGGGGACCATGTGCACCTCGGCCAGCTTCTCCTTCCATCGGATGGCCTTGCGCTGGTAGAACGAGGCCTTGAGGAAGATGTCGCTCTTGACGAGCAGGAGGACCATCTTCTGGTTCTGCTCGAGCTGGTGCTGCAGGATGTCGAGGCTGGGGCAGTCGACGACCTCGGGCTCGGGGTCGAATGTCCTTGTCTCGGCGTCCAGAGCCATGTCGATGCCAATGTTGGAGGGGATGCCGCGGTGGTGCGACAACGACCGGTCGTCGAGGGAGAGGACGTCGGGCCGGAGCGACCTCCCGTCGAGAGAGAGGTCGTCGGGGTCGTGGAGGGAGACGGCGGCGGCAACGTCCTCGACCGTTAGCCTCCACGCCTGTATCTCACGCTTCACGGTCATGTTGGCGTCGGCGACGTCGTCTTCCATCTCGGTCAGCCGGGACTGGGCGGCCGTGCCTTGTCCTGGAAGGGCCAATAGGTTCGCCGAGCGGATGCTGTCTTTGAGGTTGCGGACCTCGGCGGTGACCCTCTCCTGCGACTTCTGCGTGCCCCAGAGTGTGCCGAGCGACAGGGTGATGAGGCTCAGCTGGAGCACCTGGGTGTAGGAGCCGATGTGGACCATGGTCTGCTGGATGGTGTTGGATTTCAGGGACATGGCCATGTTCATCCGGGCCTTGGCGAACGAGCTGGGGTCATCCGGCACGTCGGGTAGCTTGCTGTCCAGTCTCTCGAGGGCGGCCTGGCACGACTGGGCGATCTGGAAGATGTTCTGGTAGTGGTCGCGCTCGAAGGGCCGCGGACCGGGCCTCTGCTTGAGGACGTGGCCGAGGTTCAGCAGGGACGTCTGCAGGTTGCGGGTGTTCTCGTAGAACTCGGTGATCACCTCGGGAACCTCTCGCGCGTCGTTGACGAACTGGGCGGCGGCGTGCACGAACTTGCCGCAGAAGGCAGCAATGCCTATGATGCTGGCCGGTATCGATAACGGGTCCATCTTGTGTAAGGGTTGGAGTGGGTTTTGGGAACTCGGCAGAAGCAGCTCAGATGGAAGGGACCCCCCCGTCTGAAGTTATGAAATGGTGGGGCATGTCAATGACTGGACCGATGACGATAGAAACAGGCACACAGGGAGGTAACCGACACACAGGGAGATAACCGAGGGTTAGGGGTGGGTTGTGGAGGAGGCGGTGCAGCCACGGGGACGGATTGTTGATCAGCTCGCATGGCAGCTGGTCCCGCCGTGCCCGCCCACCGGCTTCGAATGAGGGAGCAGGTAATCTATCATTGCAAGGCTGCCACTATCCCCACCCACACGGAACTGCTGCCTGGGAATCGGCACCCTTTTCGCGATCCTTGTCAGGTTGCAATGGTTGCAGTATTGACTGCATTACGGTATACGAAGCCTTGTGGCTCTTTTGGTTGCCCCGCTCCTGAGTCCGGGGCAGCTGTGTCACGGCAACATGGTAGGTGTTCAGCATCTGAAAATAGTAAAGATCTGCCTCGCTTGGGGGAGGATGGGAGAGGCAAGACAGCAATTGGACAACCACTCGTCCAGGGCGAGCAACCAAGGCCACGGCACAGCCCGCAGGTCCTTGCTTTTGTGTATCACGCTCTTGTTTCTTCTGAGCCACTATAGCCTGGGCTTACTACTCATCTCGGGTGGGAGTCTCTTATGGGTGTACAATCGACGTACAGCCACCTTTTTGCTCACCGGCAGTCGGTCTCCAATGCGGCGGCTCTTATGTACGACTTTTGGCCGTGTTAGATAAGACAGTCCCTCTTTAGTTCTTCCCAGCCCCAGAAATCTGTTTGGCTATGTTTCACTTGAAAAATGCAACATGTCAAACCCTCAGCCGGTTTTCAGGTCCCCCCCGTTCCCCACCTCTGCCGGCCGGCAACAGAGCCGGTGGGCTGCAAATGTGGAGCTCGCCGAACGGCCGCTTAGCGTGACCGGCCCTGACAGGCTCCACGCCCAGGTCCGGCGCCGACAGAACAACGACAGGGCCATTATCGAGAACCCCTTGGGTAGCCCGCCGTCTCTCTATTTTTTTCCAACCCCCAGTCGTCGACTAACATTCCCCGGCAGCGCATCTCACAGACGAGGACCTGGTCGCCGACGTGCGGCACTTCTCGCAGGCATGTCTCCCCGACGTCGATACGGAGAGAATTCTCCGGGCAGCCCGTGTCGCCAAGGACATCCGGACCTACGACGAAGTTGCCCGGAGCACCGTCCCCGACGCCGGGCGTGACCTGCCCGTCCAGCTGACCGCCAACGAGAAGCGGGCGCTCAAGGCCGAGAGGGACAGCCTGCTAGAGGGCGGCATGCTCATCGTGATTCTGACCGTATCGCTGGCCGCCTTCCTCCAGGGCCACGTCCAGAGCAGCATCAACGGCGCGTCGCTGTATGCCCACGTCTTCGGCCTACCTGACGGCGGCGGCTCCGACAGCGGCTCCGACACGGCCCTCGACGTCAGCGCCTTCGACGAGTGGAAGCTCGGCGCCGCCAACGCGTCGCCCTTCCTGTTCGCCGCCGCACTGGGATGCCCCCTTGCCCTGCCCATCAACGACCTCTTCGGCCGCAGGGGTGCCATGGCCATCGCGGCGGTGCTGATCTTTTCGAGCTCCTTGGGCGTCGTGTTTGTGCATCACTGGTATGAACTTTTCGGCGTGAGGGTGATAAACGGCGTGGGTCAGTACACACACACACACGCAAATGGTGTCTTCCGACTCCTGCCTGGGATACTAACCCTCGTTGTTTTTCTAGGCATGGGAATAAAGGCCGTTAGTACACCAATCTTGGCGGGTGAGACTTCTCTAGGTGAGTTAATGACGGGAATTAACCCGATGCGGTGACCTCTTCAGCTGGAACATTGCCACTAACTGCGCCCATCTTCTTGGTAGGCTTCTGGAGAGGCACAAGCATACTTGCCTGGCAGCTCTGGTCCGTTATGCCCCTCCATTTCCCTCCCAGGCTGTTTCCTCTGCTGACTTTCAGGTTAGGGTGGCGTTCGGGATGATGATCGGATTCGTTTTCAACCTCATCTTCACCAGCGCGAAAAGCGACTCGACGACGGTGAGGTTGATCTTGGGTGCCCCCATGGTGCCTTCATTGATGCTGCTCGCGGGCCTGTACTTCTGCCCCGAGTCGCCACGATACTACATGCGGCCAAGATCTCTTAATTACAACCCGGCGAAGGCATACAAGATCTTGCGGAGGTTGCGGAAAACAGAAGTATGAATGGCCCTTGTCGATTTGGGAGCGTCTGACTTTTCGAGAGGCTGTGGGCTCCATCGGTTAGCTACTCGAGCCAATGCTAACAAGTATCTGGCTCTGCCTCAGCTCCAAGCACTAAGAGATGTCTATCTCGTCTACAAGTCCATCGAGCAGGAGTATTACCTGGGTGCCGACGACCTCGACCATCCAGAGCGACTCGCTTCCCAAAGTGTCCTCTATAGACTGGCTGGGTACTTGCGCCAGTACAAACAACTCTTCAGAGTGCGGAGATTACGCAACGCGCTCATCAGCAGCGCCACCGTCAACCTCGCCCAGCAGCTCTGCGGAAGTGAGTTACTTCTCTGTCACGCCCAACGCTGCCCAATACTGTCGGTTTCTGTTTCTAACTCGGGCTGCTAGTCAACATCCTGGCCTTCTACTCGGGAACAGTGTTTCTGTATGGAGGCGCAACTACGACCAAAGCAATGGAATTCAGCTTCGGATTCGGTAGGCTAACCCTCCCACCCTCCATCCCCACCCCACCCCCGGGCGGCATCGACCAGTTGACATGTCTGACGTTGGGCTGCTTTGCCTTATTAGGGGCCATCAACTTCTTCTTTTGCCTCCCCGCAATACGGACCATCGACACTCTGGGCCGGCGAAAGTGGCTGACCATCACCCTGCCTTTCATGGCTGTCTTCCTGGCTGCTGCCGCCCTGTCGTTCCGCATTACCGACAAGGGCGTCCGGACCGGCATAGTGGCCATGTGGCTGTTCCGTGAGTCTAGGTGTGGGCTGAATACCCCTGATGCCTTGTCCTGACGGTTCTTACTTTCTAGTTTTTGCGGCGGCGTACTCTCCTGGTTTAGGTATACAAATCACCCGTTTTCGCTCCAACGGCTCTTGCTAACCTGGACCTTGTTTAACTAGGACCCATTCCTTTCACCCTCGCATCCGAGAGCTTCCCCTTGTCCCATCGCGAATCTGTGAGCCATACCCTTGAACCACTTGTCCCCTTGACCCCTGGCATTTGCTCATCCCATCCCCTCCAGGGCTGCGCATTCGCCATCGCAGTCAACCTCTTCTTCGCCGGCCTCCTATCCATCTGTTTCCCAACGTAAGTTATCCCCCACCTCCTCCCCATCCTCCTCCTCTTACCCTGCCACCCCAAAATAACCAGTCCCCCCTCCCCCCCCCCACAAAAGACTAACCAAAAAAACCAAAACAAAGCATCATCTCCCACCTCCACAACGGCGGCACCCTCGCCCTCTTCTCGGGCCTCAACCTCGTCGCCCTGGCCCTCGTCTTCGCCCTGGTGGAGGAGACCAAGCGCCGCTCGCTCGAGGACCTGGACCTCGTCTTTGCCGTCCCCAAGCGCGCCCACGTCCGCTACCAACTCGGCACCTACCTGCCCTGGTTTGCCCGCCGGTACCTACTCGGCCGCCGCGGGGAGGAGAAGCCGAGCTTGTACGTGGACATGATCTGGGGGAGCACGGGAGGGGGAGGTGGGGCGGGAGAAGGGGGTGGGGATGATAAGGGGTTGGGGACTGCTGCTGGTCGTCGGGAGGACGAGGGCGTGTTTGGAGATGGTTTTGTCGGTGGTGGAAGGGGGGATTCGGATGCCGAGTCGGTTGACACGCTGCATGCCTGAGGGGGTGGGTTTTGAACGGAGCTGAAATGGCGGTTCTGTTGCTACCCGGTAGCTTGTAAGTCTACGCCGAATGGCACAAAAATGGAGATATACACGCGGCACACACACACACGCACACATGCACATACGTATTTAAGCAGGGGCAAGGTCAGGCAAAGGCAGGCAGATTCATGGTTCTAGCTAGCCTTCGTAGAATAATCTTCTAGTCAAAATACAGTACCGACCATAAAGCAAGAAAGAAAAGGAACTGCGGGCAGATAACAAAAAAAAGAACGAAAACCCGGATAAGGCGATAGAGGAAAAGGAGAAAAACAAAAGCCTATCGATCCGCTTCCAGGTTCCCCTTCCTTCCACTCGGTCCATCCAGAAAGGTTTTCCCTGATCAGAAACCATCGATACAACAACCCCGGTCTCCCTTGGCTCCTTGTTGATGCGATCCATATAACCCCTCAGCTCCCCTATCAGCTCCCACCCCCCCCTTTGCACGTGCCTCCCTCCCTCCCCCCACGTGACGCTACCTTCTCTCCTTCAGCCCCTGGATCGGAACAGCAGAAACAATTATAGCGAGAGGCAGTGTGGGCAAGCGAGCGAGTGAGGGAGACAGACACAGAGAGAAGAAGAGACAGGGAGGCAAAAAAAACAACCAAACAGAGACGGCATATATTCCTACATGGTCTGCCATGGGCAGACTCCCTTTGTCGAATAGTCCATGAAGCAGAGACTGGGAGAGAGACAGGGGCAGAGAGAGACATAGAGAGCGAGAGACGGAAGATATTTGAGAATCGGAACTAGTCAGGGGGTGGGTGGGTAGGCGGGTGGGTGTTGTTTTGTGTAGTGTACTTCGTTTGTTCTCTTGCGCCAGATTCCTCCCATCTCTCGACGCATCCTTCGCCGTCTTTGCTTGGGGCCCAGAAAAACGTCCGCATCGATCAAGTGTCCCCTTAAAAGAAAAAAGAGAGAGAGAGAGAAAACACCGTTTTGTGCATTCAAAAATTCCAGAACACCAGTGCCAAGCCGCCGGACGAACGCACACGTAAAACCAACCAGCCCACATTGAAGATGACCGAGATGAGCTCCCCTCGGGAGGGGATTGAAGGGAGGGGAAGGGTGAGAGGGGGGCGGGGGGCGGGGGGCCGGGGGACTAAGGAGGCGACAATTCCCTTCCCTAGCCTCTCCGGTCGCCGCCGCCACTACCTGATCCAAAATCCGGCTCTGTAATCGCCTTTTTGTCCTTGCGGGCCTTGATGACAAACTCGGCCATGATCTGGATGTGGTCCGCAGGGAAGTGGTAGTTGGGGAAGCCCGGCACGCGCTTGAGGTGCTGTCGGTCCGGCGGCCCGAGGAGCTCGACCACCTCGAGCGTGTTGGTCGAGTACCAGATGTAGTCGATGACCTCGGCGAACCCGGGCACGTAGTTGGTGAAGGGTAGCTCATCGGGCGTCCCGTTTAGGTGCACGTAGGCCGACCGCAGGCTGAAGGGGTGCTCGATGCCGTCCCGCGTGAAGGTGCCGTACTGGAAAGGAGCCAGCTCCGGATGGTCCGGCGCTACCCGTCCCTGTGACAGCAACTCGTACACACTGCTATCTGCAGTCGAGTTATAATCGCCACAGACGAAGAGCGGTATGTCGGTGTTGTTCCTGTACTCTTGGGATGGCGCCGGTTCGGGCATCTCCTTCTTCTTCTCCTCCTCTCCGTCTTCCGGGTCCGACGGAAGCTGTATCATCCTCTTGTCCTTGCACGGCGGCCAGCGAGCATACTTCTCCGCCAGCCTGGTGATATTCTCCATGAGAATGGCAGTCTGGACGAGCTTCACGTCGGCGAGGGTGGGCTCCCACGCCAGATGGGTGTTGGCGACGATCATGCGCGCACCGGTCGACCGGCTCTCGAACAGGCAGATGAGCCCGATGTTGTCCTTGGGCATGACCCGGTTGAAGATGTCGTGCTGGTTCTTCATGTCCGGACGGTTGATGGCGATAGTCGCATAGTCGATCAGCTGCTTGTCGAGCAGAATGAACTTGCTAGCTTTGTAGAAGATGCCACAACCATCAACAACCTGAGCATCCTTCTCTGACATGGTCTTGGCCTTTGGCCTTGGCCAGTGGATCCCCTTGTAGTCGTATGCAGCGAGGTCCGGGCTGAAGAAGTCCCGGAAGGTGTCGGTCGCGATCTCTTGTAGACACAAAATATCCGCATCCCTATCGTGTATCTCCTGCATAATACTCTCCTTGCGATAGTCCCAGGACAAAGCGCCTGCCGGCGTATATCCGTAGAGCTGGGCAGTCGCATACCTGTCGCACAAGATGTTCCACGTCAATATCTTGACCCTCTCCAGGTTGGGCGATACGTCTTCTTGGATTACGATCGGCTTCCGCGGGGTCGGCGGTAGGGGTACTGAAAAGGGTTAGTTAGTATCAAGTGGACACAGCTAAAACAAGCGGAAACAAATTACCTGGGGCTTGCTCTCGGAGGAGGTTGACTAAGCTCTTCGTCCCGCGCTCCATAATCTCCTCTTTCATGGTGGGATTTAGGGGGTTTCCGTCAATGCCAAGCATTTCCAAGTAGTGCAGGGATCCCAACTCGTAGGGCAAATCCCGGATGTGGTTATCGAAGAGGAGCAGCTGCTTGAGGTTGGTGCACATGCCGATCTCCGGAGGGAGTTCTGAGATCTGGTTGAAGGAAGCCTCGAGCACGCGCAGTTGTCGCAGTTGGCCAATCTCAGCGGGGAGGTAGGTCAGCCGGTTCGAGGCGATGAAGAGCTCTTGCAGGAAGGTGTAGCTGAAGAGCGCAGGAGACAAGATCCTCAGGCCCTGGCCGCTGAGGTCGAGGTTGTGCCAGTCCTGTCGCTTGTTCGACTTCTCGACAATCCAAGGACGTCTCCTATCCTCGTCGCCGTCTGTAGCGGGCGCCGAATTGCCAGGCGTCAGAGCAGAGCCACCGATTCCCCGGTTCTCGGGCGCCTTGAGTCGCGCATAGTAGTGCGGCTGGTGTTGCTCTGTCATGGCCGCGTGCGCTCTCTCGGCCTCTTTCCGCAGCCGGAGCTGCTCGGCCCAATGCTCGGTTATCTGTTGAGCCTGGCCAGCTCTCGAGGGTGGCGCATGGCCATTTTGCAGATTGTTCGCCGAGAAGGGGCTGGCATTTGACATGACGCCGCTGGAAAAGCTAGAATGGTGACCGATCACGTTGCCACCCGCGCCATGGCCGGAGTGGTCTTGCGGGATGGCCTGGTGGTGCTGAGAATGGGTTTGGTGCTGGTGGGATGGTTGCTGCTGGTAGTTATAGAGGATGGGCATCCGCTGACCACCCGGCGCGCCATTGAGACGGGAGTTGTGCCCCTGCTGGTGGCCTTGACCGTACATGCTCCGCAGGTTCTTGCTCGGGGAGCTCGGGACGGGGGATTTGGACGGCGACGGCGGATCGGCAACGAAGTGGTTTAGCAGAGAATTTAGAAATATTCCGTTCGCGACGGAGCTGCCGGAGCTGTACTGAGAATATAGAGGGTTTCCAACGGCCTGCTGCGGATATCGGTAACCATCTGCCATCTATGTCTCATGGGAATCTCTAGTCGCGGCGCTGATGGGAGAGGAGGGGGGGCGGTTTCGGGAGGGGAAGGAGTGGGGCCGGCTAGGACGCTGCTCGAGAGCTCATGTACGACGCTGGAGGAGAATCTCTGGCTAGGTACTGGGCTGGTGCATGAAGTATAGCAGACTTTTCTTCCAGCATCGATGTAGCGTACGGGGGAGCTAGCCAAGACGGGCGGCAACTGGTTGAGCTTCAAAAGGCCATGCAGTCGTCGCTATCGAGAGATCTCGGCTGGGTCCTCGAGCTAGGGCGTGCCGGAGGAGCAAGGGTCGACGGCAGTAGTTGGGAGTTGAGGTCGACGTGAGAGTGGACGTCAAGAAGGATGCGGGTTGACCTTTTCTACTATGTTATGGGCTGGCCTGGACGAGATCAAGGGTCAGCAGATGTAGAGGAGAGAGATTGAAGGAAGGGAAGAGGTTGGCGGGGTTTCGCAATTGGGTAATGGGGCTCACAGTAATGAATGTGCGCGATCTCTTGCTGGAAAATAATTTTCTCTTCGCTTGGCAATGGATACTGAAGTGAAGGATATGAAGTGTGATGGCTGATGTCTTGCAACAATCCCGGTCCGGCGTCTGTTGTGGCCTCTTCCTCCAAGTTGGGGATGCAAAGGTAGAGTCAAAGGTCTGGCGGGCTGGGATTACATAACCGGCACGTGATTCAGCCTTGTGGTCAGCTGTGCACAAACCATATAGGCATATACTATGGTTTGGGAATCGCCACTAATAGACGCCACTTAATCCTAGACTTGCGACATTCACCGACTTCAGTTTGGGCACTGAATAACAGCCCGACTCTCTCAGGTATCTCGGTTGGCTCTTCACTTCCGTCACGGGTCCTGACTACAAGACGCCATAACTTGAGCTGTGAATCCCGCCCGTCAACAATTGAACCCTTTCTAAATTATTAGCCCAGGGTGATATCAGGATCCATATCTGATTTCTGACTCCAATGGACTGCAACACAAGAAGACAGGTCTCGAGGGCGACCTTGAGGCGCAAAGTACAGGTGGAATACCACTCGTGTTCGACCTTTCCGCCGGGTGTTTGTGACTGATTGAGCGTTTGCTTCGCTTGCAATTGCATTTGCCTTTTCTTTACCTAGCTAGCGGGACCTCACAGTTCCCGTGACTGGACTCCTCTCAAAAACCAAGCAACAGTCATCTTCCAGGTTCCTCTCTGGGCTGGATACCTAGCAAAGTTGGGTGGATTGATTGTCCTGAGATCCCACTAACCCGGGCACGCAGCCATTCCAGTTGGCGGCTAATATTGCCTGCCGAGTATTGTTCCTGGGAAAGGGTTTATTGATCCGCACATAGCCGCAAGATTCGAGTTGATATTCAGCCAGTGCTGAGCAGCATCGCGGACAGACACAGCGCTGATTGGCGCGGAACAAGGGCATCGAGTGTCCTCGAGCATCTAGCAGCACTTGTCCACAACCAACGGCCACAAGCTGCCATGAGGGAGGAGGAAGGGATGCGCTGGATCTGGACATGGCAAGAACGGTCCGAGCTCGCTCGCTTCTACCCTTGCATCCTCTGCATAGCCGGCCTGCACGGCAGCAATCAATCAATCGTTGTTGGGTACGGGGACTACGGTACCTACATTACCAACATTTACCAAGCATTTCTTGATTGATGGCGGTCCGCCTGTGACGTGGTGACGGGCTCTGGTGTGTGGCTCACCGTCGAATCGGCCAAATTTGATGATTTCGTCAATTATCTGGTTGTCGCCGGGTGGCGCATGATGCTCGAGAGTGGAAGCACACCATCCGTTAGAACCTACGAGTTGGCAACGGATAAAACCAGAGCCGGACGAAGCCCTTCCAGGGCAGTCTTAGCCGCACTTCGTTACACATACTATTACACAGTAGGTACTATGTATGTATGCATGTCCATACATTGCATCCATGGAATAGGGGGCGGTCCCAAACGGTGTCCCATTCTGAAACGTTGGCTAGGGCGAGGGAGGACCAAGAGATATCGACTTCAGCCTCAAAGGCTATCTCCACACTGCACCCGGACTGGCTTGCTCTTTCTGGTCTTTCCGGGGATCAACGGTGACGCATGCCAATGATACATTGCATCGTACAAGAATAGCTTCGGTGCGCCCTCACCACGCAATTCGGTTCCGTTTTGGGAATGGAGCATGACCATGCACTTGGAGTGTCTTGGTGCGCAGGATTCAGATTGGTCTCGCCAGCCTATGGCAGCGCAGGGAATAACCTACTACCTTCGCCGGATTACGCTAAAGATCCAAGAAAGAACCCAAGAAGGGTCAAGACCACAGTTAGTCTCCTGCGAAAATATGGATTCCGCTGTGCCGAACTTGGGCTGGCGCAGATCCATCTTGGGGACAGATGGATGGACTCTTATCATGGCTACAATGTGCGCGGGCATTGTCCAATCAGGTGGGCAAGACGGCCTCTGGGAGGAGGAGAACGATGCCGAAATTCCCATGAACCACGGATCAAGCGACCACGAGACACCTCGACTCGGCCAATCTGGGGGGTTCCAGCCGTCAATGCGGGGAAATGGTCCAGCATTTCGGCGGTCCCTCCACTTCAGGAATTTGGAACTTGGAACACCAGAGACACACTAGTTAGTTTAGAGTCCGCCGCAACAAGACGGGCGCAAGTATCGGTTTCTGTTGGTTGCAGAAGTGTAGATATATTTCTTAAAGAGTGTATATAGGAACTGGCGCGCCCCAGCCCTCCCCCAATTTTCTTGGCTCCTCTGGTTCCCCCGGGATTGTAGGAAGACCCGTCGTCATCCACGTTTGATGCTTTGAGCTGGTCTGCTGCCCCATGTCAACTCGTCGGCGCTCCCGTTCACACACCACACTCCATCAGGCACCACCCCGCAAGCACGGACACAGGGTCTACATTCGACAGTAAGAGATAAAGAAGGGAACGTGAGCGAGGGAGTGAAAGCACAAACTGCGGCCGACTTGCCGCACGGGATCGACTTGGCCAAATACCTATTCAAGCCATGCGAAGACCGAGGAATGTCAGAAATGGGCGGCGAGATATTACTACGATCTGGTTGAAGATAGGGTCATCACACACACGAAATCCAGCAAAGTGAAAACTGGAAGAGAGGGGCACGAGGGAACACCCGGCCTCAGAAGCAGAGAGACTAACATCACAGCTTCCCCCGCCATCCCCGTCATCCCAGCCGACGCAGCCCTAGGTTCTGGACCAGACCGAAAGAGAAGGTACCTAGGACCTACCTGGAAGGTCGGACTAAGCAGGAAACGAATAGCATTGCTTTTTGGATCCTCGGATACCCTTCCGGTTTTCGGGACGCCTCACCGACTGGAAGGAGCAGGCGCTGGAGACAACTGGAGAACACGACAGGAGCGATCAACGCGACCAGGAGGCGAAACAAGACCCCGCGCTTCTAGAAGGTGGAACGTCTGTGAGCCCGCGAAAATCCCATTGAGAACTTCCAAGGGCCCCCTCCCCCTTGTTTGACATCGAGTGACGAACGGCACGGCAGAAAACGCAGAAACCTGGGAAGTTTGCACTGTCACTCTCTCCTGAATTGTGGCGGCGCTGCAGAGTTGCGCAACCGGGCGCCGGGGGTTTGCTCAGCCGACACTCCGCTAGAACCTAGCTAAAATGGAGTACTCCTGGTCCTACGCCGCCGCCAGGGCTCCTGTCCCAAGCACCTACCACCAAAAGCCAAAGCCTCGACCCGACCGGCCAAATCGATCCAATTCCACATCCGGTGCCCGACCCAAGAGAAAACCGCGGATTCCCGGCCATTCCAGGGCCTCGAGCTGCAGTTCGAATAACCTTCCGACCCACGACATCCCGCTGCCGCTTCTGCCGCAGGAGCTCCAGGGCCACGACCCAGCTGGTGGGGCAGGCGAGGGAAACTCGCCTGCTGAACACGGCCACCTCCCTACTCTCGATCCCAACCAGCCCCACAGCCACAATAACCAGCAACAGCCGCAGCAACAACAACAGCATCAGCATCACCAGCGCCGGGACCGGGTGGCTGCCTTGGTCAAATACTACCAAACAAAGCAATTGCCAGCGACCCCTCGTATCGACACCGAAACTGAAAACGCTACAAACACGAACGAGTCCGGCCCGGCATCGGCACAAACCCCGGCATCGCCGCGCCTCGCTCGACCGCTGTCCTTCTCCTACCCTCTTCATACGTCAACCTCAGCATCAACGTCGGCGTCAGCGACAGCGTCCGCTGCCGCCACGTCGCATCAAGACCGCCGTATGTTTCAACATGCCGCCATGTTTGCCGACCCGAACCCCATGTCCAAGATATCCTCAGCGGGTGCCGGTCCATCTACTCGTGCCGACAGCGTGGTCTCGAGCAATTCGGGAGGCACCACGCTGAGCAGCCGCACCATGCTGTCGAGCGAGACGCCATGGAATGCCGAGTCCGCCGCGAAGCCCTTGATCGTCCGCAACGGCCGCACCTACATCTCCGACCCCTCGCTCCCTTATCCCTTACCCGTCGACCTTGCGGAGCTACATCGGCAAAGCTTGAGGATTCTTATGTTGTTCCAGCTCTTCGGCGGCCCAATATGCTCTCCCGAATTCGCAAACAAGCCGCCTACGCGGGTGCTCGAAGTCGGCTGCGGCTCGGGATTCTGGAGCATGATGTGTCATCGTTACTACGCGCGGCACGGCCACTCGGACATCTCCTTTGCGGGCATCGACATCGCGCCCATCGCCGCGGGAGCCGGCGGACAGGGCGGCAATTCCGGCAGCAGGAATAATTCTAACGCGGGGGCCCGCGAAGGAAATAGAGCATCAGGGGCCTCTTCCTCCTCTCCGGCCGATGCACGGCCTGATAGTGATATGAGGTGGCGATTCGTACAGCACGATATGCGCAAACTCCCCTGGCCCTTTGCAAGCGGCGAGTTTGACCTGATCATGGTTAAGGACATGTCCCTCGCCACCTCCAGCGGTCTCCAGCAGCCGTTCATGGACGAGTATCTCCGCATGCTAAGTCCTGGTGGGACTCTCGAGATCTGGGAGAGCGACCACACTATTCGCATGCTACGGCCCCACGTTCCGGAATCACGACAACAAGTCCGCCAGCCGGCCAACCAGGGCCAAGGTGGAGCGGGAGGCACAGACGGCGGTGGTGGCGGCGACAGCGACTCCTCCGACAGTGAGGAAGATGAGCAGACCGCAGCTGCTAGCCTCGGCGCGTATATTATGACGGGCAACACGCCGTTGTCGGCACCCCTCAACAACTTCCTGGTCGAATACAACGGGTGGGTGTCGCGGGCGCTCGAGGCGCGCGGCCTGTCAGCTATGCCGTGCACGCTGATAGGGCCGATGCTCCTCCAGGAAGCTGAGATATTGGCGGGCATAGGATCGCGGCGGCTGGCGGTGCCACTCTCCGAGGCTCGGTGGGAGCGCGAGGGTGTCGGCGGGGTCGTCACCAAGGATGGCAAGAGCTACATCGAGACCAAGGGCAAGAGCAGGGGGCCGCCGGCACCCAAGGGGGCACGCGACGCCGGCCGGCCGCTGACGGCGGCGCAGGCGGCGCTGAGGAGGACGGCGCTGACGACGGTCGTGCAGCAGATACAGGGCCTGGAGGGGGTGCTGCGGGAGGCCAGCGGCAAGAGCCAGGACGAGTGGGACGGCTGGCTGGGCAAGATGATGAACGACCTCGTCAAGGAGAACGGGACGAGCTGGGGCGAATGTCTCGAGGTCGGAGCCTGGTGGGCCAAGAAGAAGTCATGATCCGGAACGTCATCTGAAATGGACGATTTGGGGAATCCCGGAGGTTCTCGACAATAGCCATGTGTTTATTGGCCTTCACTCCCTGCTCAGATATCCTACACATATTCTACACTCAGCAGCAGCTGCCCAATCTTACTCATGTCCAGCCTCGAAACCGGACCCCCCCTCACGACAACCCGACTCCGTACGCCACTTCCGAGTCACTCCCGAGTCCAGGAGATTTTGGATCTCATCATGCCACTGAAACCAGGGCTCTGTTGCGCCCATCGGAATGAGCCCGATGCTCCGAGTTCAACCATCTGCCATCTACCACCTACCACATGGACCTCCCAGCTTGTGCTAAAAAGCTTCATGTCACATCATACCGCTTCCTCAGCGTCCGGTATCTCTTCAAATAGTACCTATTCGTTTCGATTCAGAGAAGCACATTAGCCGGGCTACTGTTCTTCCTGGCCACACTTGAAGGTTGGGTTTTTTTTTTCAGCCCTCGCAGCCGCTGGGCCAAATCATGACATAAAAGGAGGGAAAATAAACGAAAAAAAGGGGGGGAAACACAACAACACGTAAAACTTCATTATAGAGGGCGGGGGGGGTATATGGGTCTGGAGTGATGGGATTGTTTTTTTTTCAGAGGTCGGGCCAAATCGATGAGCCTCTTCTCGCAAGGCATAGCGTCGCTTTCTTCTTGCTCCTCCTGTATGTATGTACTGTACATAGATACCTGCTCGGGAACCAGGGCGGGGTCGGAGCTGGAGCTGGCCGGGTTTTCTTTCTGGCTCGACATATAGGAGAAGAATTGAACATTGGATATTTTTGATCATTCACTGGTAACCACGATATTACTGGGGAATTGAGACTTGGGAGCCTCTCGCTTGCGACCCAGGCTCCCTCTTCTGCCGTGCATTTGAAGGCTCGTAACGTCGGGATCGAAACGGGAATGTAGAGGAAGGAGAATCGTCGGACTTACAGCGCCTCGACCTCTGTTATTGCAAATGTCAGCTCGGTCGATTCTCCCCTTGCGTTTGAAGGGGGACGGGCCACGGGGCAGTATAGGATCGGCCATTGCCAGTCAGCCAGGTCGCGCACCTTTTCGCACAAACTCGGCCCTCGCTATCCCCTTCCGGATCTCCTCCTCGTCCCGCAGCCCGGCGTTCGCCATGAAGGCGCCGTGCAGCCTCGTCCGGAAGTAGTCGAACCCCAACGGGTAGTCCTTGCCGAGGTTGAGGAGCTCTGTGCACCGGGCGGGAGGCCCCGGGTGGATTGGTTAGCCGCTGACTTTGCACTGGCAGAGGAGGAGAGGCGCGCGGGGTTGTTCTGATCAATAGGTCACTTGGAAGCTGTTCATTGTGCTTGTGTATGGGTCGGGCGGACCTTTGTAGATGCTGACAACCTGTCTCCGTAGCGCCGGGTTGGGCGATGGCATAACTTAATCGGCGGGGCGTGGGGAGAGGAACCGTAGTGCGGAATCAAATCGCATCTATCCTTCGAGTGGAGTTCGCTGTCGCGAGGATTGGGAACTTGGGGAGATGGATTGTTTGTCCTTTTCCTTGAGATGACGCGCCACAACCTACCCCGGCTTGCCTCGGTCTTCTGCTTGGCTCTGACGCCATTTCCGCGACCCCGCCGTTAGCGGAGGAGGGCGCGGCTTTAATTAACCACCTTGCTACACTTCACGACTTCGAACTCGGCTTCTCCCTACCGCCAATCTAGACACCACAAAGTCTACGGGGAGCTCGAGACGTCCATCACCAGTCCAATTGACCTCGAGAAACCCCCAATTGACGGCCCCTTAACCCGCTAAATCGACGGCCCCCGTGCCCGCCCACAATGCCCGCCCGCCCACGCCTAAAGCTCTCCAGGGGCTGTCCCTCAGGCACATTCCGAACCGGGCCCCCTCCGACCCGCCTCCACCTCTCCTCGGCCGCCGCCGCCTCTACCTCGACAACAGGCCAGTCTCTGCCCCCCGCGCCGCCGCAGCGCTGGGTCTCGGACCTGCAGGCCCGCGTGGGCCGGTGCCTGGCGTTTGGGTGCTCGGCGGACCAGGTGTCGCGCGCGGCGCGCGTGCTGGCCGTCCTGGCGGCCGAGTGGCGCCACCTCCTCGCCGGGAGCGAGGGGTTCCTCACGCGCGGGGGCGGGCGGGCCGGGGATAGTCGGAGGGTTGTGTGGGGGGAGATGGACTCCTTTGTACGTTTTCCCCACACCACCGCACCCTTCCACGGGGTTTGTTTGTCGGGAGCAGAGGAGAAGAGAGAGGGAGATGGGGAGAGAGGCCGAACTTGTATGCTAACGAAAGCGGACGCGATGGGTAGGGCCACGTCAACAACGTCAACTACTTCCGCTACGCCGAGTCGGCGCGCGTCGACTGGATAACCGACTTTTCCGTGCGGGCGGCGCCGGAGCACCGCGAGGCATGGGCCGAGCTGATGAAGCCGCGGGCGACGGGGCTGATCATGAGGTCATTGAAGTCCGAGTTCAAATTCGTGAGTCGACTCGACCCTTCCGCCGACTCTATAACTTACTGACCCTTTTCTCCCCTTGTCCCAGCCCCTCGTCTACCCCGACACCATCTCCGTCTACCACAAGCTCCGACCCCCCTCGGGCCCCGGCCCGGCCGACCCGACAGCCATCACCCTCGACTGCGTGGTCCTCTCGCACCGCCATCGCCGGCCCGCCGCCCGCTTGGAGGAGGACGTCGTCGTGTACGACTACCGCATCGCGGCGCGCGCGCCCCTGCCCGACTTCGCGGCCGCGGCGTTCGCGGAGACGATGCGGGCGCAGGAGGCCGAGGCTGCGGCCGCGAGGCGGGCAGTCTGGGGCCTCATTGGGGAGGTGGAGGCGCTTGAGAGGGGGACGTGGGATCGGGAGGGGGCGGTGGAAGATTTGGGTGGGGGGGTTAAGGGGGGGTGACGGGGAAGCGATGGAGAGGTGGATGGGGGTGGATGGGAGGTGAAAGGGCGAAGGGGATGTGAAGGGAAATAGACGGGATGGTGTTTCTATGATGAGCGTCCTGTCATCTTAATGGAGATATGCTTACGGGAAGCACGGAGGAGGGCAAAGTGAGGGAAGACCGCGATATTTTTGTCACATATGTTCTACCGTATCTATTTACCTTCATTCTAGTTGAAAAGTGCTAGCCTTACGAGGCAGATAGAGGAGGAAACATTCTAGCTATCTTCTTGACGCCATCCATCAACCTAGTTTCGGGGCTTCCTAACCTTGCTTCATGGGCACATTATTCTTCACCTGGCCACGGATTGCGCTGTGTTCACGTCCCCGCTATGCGAATAGTTTAATGGTATTGCTACGGAGGCAAAGCTTGACGGAGGTTAAGCCTAGCATTTCGGGTCACCAAGTGGGTAACTTGGCACTCAAAGTCTCGAACATTACGGAGCCTGTCAAATTGCAAGCGTGCCCTTGGCTTCGCAGTGGCAAGATGGCGCGTAGTTCTGAAGAAGGACGTTTGAATTTTTCGCGCGACTCAGGGCAACCGTCGCGGACGGGGCCGATACCAGCGAGTTACTGCCGGTCCCGATTGGCAAACGGCGATCGGGCGGCACGGCCTAGGTTCCTTTCAAGGCGTTCGGATGGACAACAAGTAAGTATCCGTCTGGCGAAACCGCCCGATTGGCCGGGTCTGGCAACGGTGAACTACCTAGGTGAACTCATGAGGCATGGTACAACACCAGAAATGAATCGACGCGGTGGAACGCCCCTGGAGCGCCAAGGCCAAGTCCGACCGAGGCAAGGACTCGGCAGTCGACACAGTGCCACTCCTTGGCACGATTGTAGCTGCCAACCGGAAATACCCTGGAGATGGGGGAATCGCCCGTTCGATTTCTAGAACCCGGTGCATGATGATTGGCACGGGTGATTGTGATTGTGTCGACGCGCATGAAGCCTTTCTCATATTGGGCAAGGAAGATCGATATCCTGGTCGATGCCGAAGCTCTGCCGACCCTCGCCCGAGCTGCCATCACTTGTGACCGCTCCTCATGGCGCGAGGCGCGAGTCGTGGCTTGTGACATAGAAGGGATATTTTCTTGAGCCTGGTCGCTCCGCTTGGCCCCTCAAAAAAAAAAAAATAAATAGCTCGAACAATAATAACGAGAGAAGAGTAAAGAGCAACCTACTTCGCATGTCTGTGCAAATTTGACACCGCGCGACTGGCCTGATCTGGCCTCCCATGATGATTAGGGCTCGATGATTATCCGTCCCTCTGCCTGCCCCGGGCGGTGGTTGGTCTCTTCTTGGACATTCCCCGCATGCACCATGGCCATATCAAGAAAACGGCGGTGGAGCTTGAGCAATCGCCCTTTGGACGCCCTAAATTGATTCCTCCCGCCTGGCCAATGAGGCAGCTCGGGAGGGCTTAAATGCCGAAGGGGAGGAGACCTTACCTGCCGTGATGGTTGCCTGTCCACCATACGAAGTCATCTGTTGTCAATGAGGTGGGGTTGATGTTGCATTCTATGCGTGTTGCGATTCGTGATGTTTATCATCACAACGCACCGCTGCAACATGGCTCTGGTCTTCACTGCAAAGTATGTACCTAAGCAATGTACGCATCCATGCGTTGCGGGTGCGGCTACAGCGGCTCTAAAAGTAGAGGGAACGCATCTTATGTACAATGCTGTACCTCCTGCGTAGTGGAACATGACTTGCATGGATGGGGCCCACAGGCCAGGTGCTTACCACAGTAAGCTGCTACAAACGGTGACTGTAACAACGCACATGCCCCCCCAAATTAATTCGTCCGCGCTCGCGACAAGAGAAGCAAGATTCATCTTCTCCCTTGACCGCCAAATGCTTACAAGTTGTGGCCGACATCGCACTAGAAGATGGTGATATTTGGATTTAGTCCCAGGGCCGAGGAGAATTATTCCGAAGAAAGTAGTGATCGGCATCCAATGCCGCGGAGAAAAGCGCAGATCCATAACGTGCTTTCCTTCGATCAACTGATGATGGGTTTGGAGACTGCTGACTGGCGGGATGGGGTTACTGTTTACAGCCTCCCCGGCAAGTGCTTATCGCTGATCCCTGGCTTGCATGATGCGTGTTTGCTTTGCAACTCAAGTTTAACCTGGCTCATACTCCCCGTGAGGTTCTCCCCCTGTCATTGGCACTGTGCAGGTACCTCCCTGGGGATGCAGTACATGCATACATATTCCGTACAACGTTAAATCAGGGGCGGCTCCAAGACACCAAAAATCCATTTCCGGCTCCAGAGTTGAGCTCCCGAAGTCTAAGTGTGTATATATTCAGCCATGCATTTTTTTACGTCGTCCACACTTTTCAACTCCAACCCAGCCAACCATCACGCCCCCTCCCACCTCAAGCTGAACACCTCCGCCCCGACCCTCGAGTTCCCAACCTCAGCCTTCCCATCCTGACTCAGCACACTCGCGGGTATCTTCTCCCCCTTCCTCTCTAGTACAATCTTCCCCTTCTCCGAAACCTCGGGCAGCTTGTAGAACCGCCGCCCAGACCGGCTGAGGAATCCCTCCAGCTTCTCCTGCGTCACATCCGCCTCCACGATCGCCCCGCGCTCGATCGCCTCCTCGAGGGCTAGTAGGACGAGCTGCGTCGCGAACGGCTGCGTGAACACCCCCGCCGGCGCTTTACCCTGCGCGGCCGAAGTCTTGGTCTGGATGGGGTGCGGGGCGCTATCGCTTCCACTGAGCGGGGAGGATGACGATTTAGTAGGTTTACTAACGAGCCTCGTGAAGGCGAATTGGGGTGGAGGGATGACTCACAAGAAGAACTTGGTGTCGCCGCTGACAACGGCCCGGACCAGCGCGTCTCTGTCCGTGGGCTTCTTCGGGATCGGCTTGCAGAAGGCGAAGGGGTCGCAGCAGGCTTCGTGGGAGGTGAGGTAGAGGTGGTGGGCAGTGATTGTCGCTACAGTCCACTGATATCAGCATCACTCGTTATACACCCAGCGAGACGAAAACAAGAACGGCGAGCCATACCGCCAACAGTAGGTCCGCAAGCCCGCACAGCCTCTACAGCCGCTGCGGTAGTACAATGCTCGAGCTACGATGGAGAGAGTCAGCGATTGCCCAAAGTGGAGTCCAGAAGATACACACCACGATGCGCAGCTGTGGGAACCGCTCATGGAGCGTCTTGAGGGTTGGAAGGAACGCTTCTTCCAGCGTTGTGTCTGCTGGTGCAAGCGACTCCAGAACCTCTCCGTGGAGGTTCAGCACTGTCCAAACACATAGCTTTGTTAGCTTCCATTCCTCTCTCAGGGTACGTCTGGAGTCCTTCGCGAGTAAAGGGGCGACCCAGGGACAGATTGATCGGGGGAAGATAGAACTCAGAAAGCATGCTGCAGTGTACCTACCTAACCCATGCTTCTCCATGGCAGCGAATGTGGTGTAGAAGGCCTCAAGATTTGAAACACCAGACTCGGAGTTAGTTGTTACCCCTAGCATGACGTGTTAATGCTGTGTTTGTGGCAAGATAGGGGGAATAGGAAAGCTTGCCTTGAGGGTACATCTTCACGCCAGTGATTCCAGCTGCTGCGGCTTGGGCGATCACCTCAGGCGTGACGGAGGGATGAAGCTGGGAGGACGTTAGACGAACAGACCCCTATCTGAGTGAGATTCAGGGGTAAGCAAGGGGACTGACGAAGAGTGACATGAGGAAATGAACATCTTGGGTTATGGCGTGCAGCTGAGATCGGTATTCAAGCACCTTAGCAACGGTCAGTTATTTATTTCTAGTCTCATATCCATATATGCCTTTGGGGTCCGGCATTCTCTGCCTGTAGACATACCTTCTCAACAGACGTAAGGGGAGGCACCTGTGCGCGAATACGTTAGCATGTAGTGATGGAATAGAGCTGGCGGTTCTATTTGTTTGGTTTCTAGGATCCCTACGTACAAGATTGGGCATGCTATGCTTCTTGGTTAGCATTTCCATTCCTCTTCAGGATATCACACAGAGAGCTGTCGTACACAAAGACCGTATCAACCCCACCTTTCCTCACGGTGGGAACTACCAACTCCATGAGCTCAGCCTGCCGTAAGTGGACATGCATGTCCGCCGTAGGCGGCAGCTCAAGCCGGTCGATATTTTTCATCTGCATTTTCCTCGATTTGTAAAAGGTATGCCTTCTTTACAGGTACGTTTTTGGTTGAGAGAGCCCCTCACTCCTGACATCAATGGTTTTTTTTCGGGCACCATCAAGTCACGTGCGAAAAGGGGCCACAGGTGCCGGGAGAGACGGGAATTGCCTATGGGCTAGCCTTAGCACACTGCTGCATATTGCATAATCATTAGTATCACACTCCCTGTCACTGGCCTGGCTCAAGCACCAAAATAAACAAGACATGGAAAAATAAAAATAAAACCCAAGAAAAAGTTTGTTGCTGACCAAGCTCACCTCAATATAGTCTAGAATTACTGCATCAACTCCACTCCTGGAATGCTAGGTGGTTGGGTACAGTAATATGCTATTGCTGTTAACAGACGTGAGTTTACACCACTGAGTCAGCGGATCAGGCCAAATCTGAAAATCTAGATCCGCAGCATTCCTCTGCCGTCTGGGCAGGTGGAGCCACAAGCTGGGACTCGAAACTTGGCGGTACATGCGTACCAAGGGAGGTACCTACAGTATGACAAAACAGGTATTGCGTGGGGCCTAACAGTACAGATGAGGTTCCCACGGCGGGGCAATTTCCGCACCGTCCTGTCACGTCCCTCTTCAGGTGGAAACACCTTGGCAGCCTCCACTGCAGCACCGACGATCACAGTGCAGTACAGTGCACTCCGCCCCACGTCCCTCCTGTTGCAGTTGCCGCCCTTCGTCTGCTGTTCTTTCCCGATACACTAGCGCAAGCCAGTAACCAGCCCATCTTGCAGCCGCCTGTGAGACTTGCAACTGCGCCACGCCCACTTTGACCTAAAAGACCCCCAGACCTCCAAACTCAAAATTCCGTCCCCTTTTTAACCCTTTTCGTCATTTTTACCTTTCTCAACACAGGTCCCCACGAAACGAAGACGGCAGCCGATCGGGCGCATGAAAAGTACTCCGACCCGGTCCGCTGGAAACTCTCTTCCGATCTTTCCGTGATCAAGCACAAGCGAACTCGCAAGCTGCTCGCGCGGCCCGCGGGGGGGTGGGGGGGGGGGCGGGGGGGCGGGGGGGGGGGGGGGGGGGGGGGCGGGGGGGGGGGGGGGCGGGG